GACTTCATCAGCCTAAATGCAATGGAAGTTGTCTGGAAGCCAGAGGTCTCCTTCAGAGAAAGACCACTAAAGGGTCGGGGAGAAAAGTGTGCTTCCAAAGGTTTGTCTGAAACAATTCCTTTATGGCTGAGATCCAGTTTTATCAGTTTGAAAGGGGGGAAAAACCCAGCAAGTCTCCTGAAGAACAACCGAAGCTGGAATTTTCAGGACCCTGGACAGATCCCAGGATTTGGTCGCTTGCAGTGTGAGAGCCCACCTCCATTTCTGCCTGAGGTCCAGTTCCATGACTGGAGTTCAGCATGCATTGGATTCAGCCCAATGCAATCACGATCTGAGCCCAATCTCAGGAATAACCTTTTGAATTGTTCTTCAATCTATCAAATTTGGAGGTACGGGTAACCCTTTGAGGGGACTGTGGACTTGTCAAATTTCAGAAATATAGGTCCAGAGGTATTTGTGCTAGCTACTTTGAAAATGGGTTTAAAATTTGCAGAAAGATGGGCTGCTTTTCTACACCACAATAGGTGTCCGTAGTAAATATGTGCCACTTGCATATGGTCGGGGTGTGTGTGTGTGCTAAGATAAACATGTTACCAACTCACATACACACAGTGAAGACAGAAAGAAAAGGAAAAGACAAACTTGAAGCATTGAATAAACAATGAAGACTGAAATCACAGTGAAACTTAATCTTTAAATCAGCCAAAATGGAGATTCAAGGGATGTGTTAAAATGCCACTGCTTAATAAAACTATTCCTAAAATAGCACTGATACCAATATATATGTATATATTGAGAGTCTGAGGCTATCACATATACAAATCAAATACAAACAGTAAGGGGTGGTGGGTTTGGATTCGGAGAGAGTAGAAGAGAAAAGATGGATGTTTGGGTGTCGGTAAGATGAATGAAGGAGAACAACGGGTTATGGTAAAACATCTACCAAATACTGATAAACTTTTTAAAAATGTTCCCATTGCTGGCACCATATTAACAAAAGAGTATTTTTACACCCTTGAAGCCCTGTGAGTGGAAAGCACTGGTGAGGATCTTGTCCACAAGGGAAGCCCACTGAGAAAAATCCAGCCATGATTTTGAAACTTTACGCATCTCCTAAACCCACATTTCCCTTACACTCTAGAACTCCTCCTTTACTAGACCTTTGCTTCTTTTATTCCCTCTTTCTTCAAGCTTCTCTGCTTGACCCCCCCACCTCCCTGTAACACTAAAATTCACATCACATGTTAAAGAAAAAGAGTATTCCCTGGCATTCCCAAATTTTCCTCGCAGCCTTGCGCTTCCTCCAAAGCTGCATGCTGGGGCAACCGGATTTGCTAATGAGGTCTGTGTTTGCCTCCCAGCAGCCAATCACAGCACAAAAAGGAAACTGATCTGCAGCATGAGAAATGGGGCAAGCTAGTGCTAGGATAAACAGACCCCCCCCCTTTTTTATGGGAGCTTCAGTTCTAGAGATGCACAATCCATAACATATGGTTGTGTTATAATAAAGATGTCTCTTTCTTAAGGGATCTGTCAGCTGCTGAGTGATATTTAAGGCAACTCTGTATGAAATGACTAACTTTATTGCTGTTCCTGTGTGAGATCAAGTCACTCCAGTCTCAACTGTGATCTTATGAATTAATAGCCTCTAAACTGTCTAACTGTTACCCGCCCTGCTCAGATCTTGCAAAGCGAAAGGCTGTGGCTTCTTTTATTAACTAGACCCATCTCGTGTCTAGTTTCTTCATCCCCTACTCCTTCCATCTTTCCTGGCAGTTTTGTCTCTCCCAGCGAGGAAATGCCCCTGAGGGAGGAGAGGATGAAGGCTCACACAGTTCCACTTTTTAGCCCAGTCAGGCCCCCAGATGTTCTTGGACTACAACTCCCAGAAGCCTTCATTGCTGGCTGTGCTGGCCTGGAGGACCCCAGGTTGGGAACTACTGTCTTAGTTGATAGGCAAGAGTTCTTGGTTGTTATCTGTTGTTGTTTTTTTTAAATCAGTGATTATGTATTATAAAGGCTGTTGCAATGGGTTTTTGTTTACAGATGTTTCCCCCCTTTATAACTATACTTTACTAGGATCCTAATTTTCTCATCTTCATTTTTAAACACCGGCCACTCCTCAAAGCTGGAGTCATAAATGACATTCCAGGCCCTTTCCTAAATGGTGAGCATTCAGCAAATGGAAAACTGATATCTACTTGGGGTGGCATCAGTGTTCTTTTACTTGGGAAAGCTGGAGTCATAAATGACATTCCAGGCATTTTTCTAATGGTGAACATTCAGCAAACGGAAAACTGATATCTACTTGCGGTGGCATCAACGTTCTTTTACTTGGGAACATAGGAAAGTAAAGAAAGAAAGAAAGAAAGAAAGAAAGAAAGAAAGAAAGAAAGAAAGAAAGAAGTAGTACACTGCTACTACTCCCCCCCCAGTTGTTCACAAAGACATTCCAGAAAACTGAATAATGTTGCTTCAAAACAATTCAATAGCTTTGTGCACATATCGGGCCACCTAACATGGCCAAGTTCTCCATCAGGTCCCTCCTTCTTTAGACCACCTTCTTTCAACACAACCTTTCTGGGGAAGGACTGGCCATTTCTTTCCTCCGCCTTTATATGTCTGTCTGGTTCTCTACGGATCCCAGTTGTGTCCCAGAGGAACTCTTCCACTGTCTCTGCTACCTTTTCAGAAAAAGAGAAGCGGCGGCTCTCTCTCTCAGTAGGACACGGAGAAAGCTACGGGAGGGACCCCTGCTATCATCCCAAGCATCCCCGTTGCTGGTGGTGATGGAAGCTCTCGCCCCCTTTCCGTTCCTTTCCTGCTTCTTCACTTCCATCAGTTCCAGAATGACATCTCTTGCCTGCTTCTAGCTATCTCCCCGCTCCATTTCACCCTCAACCCATTGAAAGCCCCTTGGGTGAGCGACCCGTTGGCCTGTTGATGGACCCCCTGCTCAGCCCAGATCCTAATGGTAGCCCTTGATTTCTTGCAGACCTTGACGAGTGCCACTCCAGTCCTTGTCTAAATGGAGCTACCTGCGTTGATGGCATCCACAATTTCACATGCTTATGCCTCCCCAGCTACGGAGGGGATCGCTGTGACGTTGGTATGGTCCGCCTACCTACCTACCTGGCTTCAGCTCATCGTACTAACAGATGCATGCCCTTTCTTTTCACCTTGGGGTGGGGTGGGGAAGGATCTTGACCCATGCACACCTCGTGCTCCCAGTCTGTCCACCCATCCCACCCCATCCGCATCCCTTCAAAGCTAACTCTTAATAACAACAAGACGTGTTTTGCTAAGAAACATGCCGACTCTTCTGCTTTCTCCTTCTAATATTTCCTTTGCACAATATTTCCAGACATTTTCTGGAGTGCTGGGATTTCTCAGTGACCTCATCATTATACATAGGAAGCAAAGGAAACCTTTCAAGCATGCAGTAGAGCACAGCATATTTGAGTATATTGCACTGTCAGCATTATATTGTCACAATATGCATGCACACAAGTACATATACCTATGCAGGCGCATGGAATTCCCCAGCATTCACTTGCTCGGTCCTACCTTATGAAATCCAAGATTTCATCCTACCAGAGCATCACTTCGACAGAGCACAGGGTCGGTTCCTCCAGAAGGGAGGGTTTCCCAGGCATTCCTCTTCTGTTCTATCAAAGTAATAGACTGATCTTCCATGAAATGCTTCCAGTCCTTTTCAAAAGCCATCTAAGTTGGAGGCATCTCTCTCTCTCTCTCTCTCTCTCTCTCTCTCTCTCTAGTTATAAGCAATGCCTCAAGTTCATTATGCAATAACTGGGAAGACTGGCCAGTTTTGAACATACGGACATTCGGGTTCATACAGATGCCCTCATTCCACCCCCAAGCTCTACTTTTATTAGAAACAGAATATTTTCCCCTCTTCTTTAGGACAGACAACATGGGGCAATTCCTTCAGCCCTACGCCTAATTACAGAAGCTAGCTTTTCCCTACTTTCTGAAGGGTTTGGACTATAATGTCTATCATCCCCAGCCAACATAGATAATTTCTCCCCCACCACCCCCAAAAAAGCAAATACACACAACATTGTACTTCTTCCTATGCAAGTAACTGATGGATCCCCCAGGAGGGTGCTGAAAATATATTTGTTTCCTTGCCATGCCGCAGGTGAGTGAAGGGGGAAAAAAATACACAAATCCATTCTGGGTTTCAGTCCAGATGTTAAAAGAGGTGGTTCAAGTTACTAAACCTATTTTGAGAATAGAGTTCCGGACCCTGGATAGCTTCGTTAAAATTCAGACTAAAATGTGACGCGGATTCTCTGCCTCGAAGACACGGGTGCCTCCACTGCACATGTAAACACGATAAAAACATTGACAACACTTTTTGAAATTGCGTTTGCGTGGAGCAACTCCTCAGTGGCGCATGCCCAATCCGTTGAAGGCCTGGGAGACCCCCACAGGGATTTCCCTTCCTGGCCAAAATCAGCCATAAAAAGCGTCCTTAAAGTTTCCTCAAACAGAACCTTCCGGAACACAAAGGACGTCAACGTCTTTCTCTCCCCCTCCCCCTTTCCATTTTGGCAGTCTTTAAAAAAGTTCTACCATTTTTCTTCACCTTTTGGCACATCACAGAATAGGCTCAGAAATTTCATGGGGCACCAGAGGATCCGGCCCTAGGAGGGAGGTCGACGGCTCTTTCTCTCCAAGGAAACAACCCGCCTGATGTCTCTCTTTTGAGTCAAGGGCCACCTAGGTGTCTGGAAAAAGAGACTTGGAAAGCCAACCTCTCAGCGCTGTCTTCCCTGGGGTCCTCTTCTCCAAATATCCTTCTCCTCCTCTTTCTCCTAGATCTGGCGGAATGTGAAGTTGGCTGGACCAAATTCCAAGGCAACTGTTACAAGCATTTTGAGGAGAAACACACATGGGTGGATGCGGAGAATCTGTGCCGAGAGCACCAGTCCCACTTGAGTAGCATCATCACGCCCGAAGAGCAGGAGTTTGTTAACAGTGAGTAGGATGTTTCCAACCTCCTATTTATTTATTATTTCTTGCCAGAAAGCATTGCTTAAGCACCTGTGATATGGGGCTCAGTGCCCCCTTCCGCCTGCCCCCCCACCCACTTGATTTTACCCATTCAACCCATCCGCCAGGCCCTGCCCTCTCTTGCTTTCAATATAACAACATGCAAAGCAAATTCTGCTCAACTTCACCGTGGTTTAGCGACGTTGATCAATGGGATGGAAATGGCTGATGGGGTTTGTCGTCCATCTTCCATCTGGAAGCCTCCAGATTGTGTGACCTTGATGTACTGGTTTGCTTCCTTCCAGGGGAGTGGGGGGGGGGAAACTGAAGCCTTTTCTCCCAGCCTTTTCTAATCACAAAGCTTCATTTTTAATTCTATTCTCTTTTCTACCCCCCCTGCTCCCCACCCTTCTCTGTCTTTGCTAGAGAATGCACAGGATTATCAATGGATTGGCCTTAGTGACCGAGCCGTTGAAGGCGACTTCCGTTGGTCTGACGGACACTCTCTTGTGAGTAAAGTTCCGGATGGACATGATCCTTCTTCTTCAGAAGGCAGCGAGAAATGACACACAGAGAAAGGAAGAGGCTAGTCCCCTTCCATCTCTCCTCTCCCCCACCCCCCCAGTACAAAGAGGGATTGTCTAACTAAGACCAGCCACCTCTGTGGGAGGGAGGAGAGATCTGTGTGATCCATAACATGGGTTGGTTCTGGGTCATGAACAGATGCGGCTGGACCCTGGATGCCAACCGGCAGTGTCAGGGATTCACAAGCAAGATGGTGGCAGGAAGCTTAAGTCAACATGGCGGTTATGTGCCTTTCCACGCACTGTGCACTTTGGCTCAAGCCAGAGGGCGGAACATATTTGGCCAGTTTCCGCACGAGGCTGGCCCAAAAGCCATTCCATCCTCTGGCCCAGCCTTGGCCCACGTGATCCCGGTGGCCGTGGACAATGTCCTCCTGTGGCCTCCGAAAAACCTGCTCCCTGAGTTCAGTTTTGGATCCTCAAAGGTGGTTTTGGGTCTGGGAAGCGCAAGAAGGAAGCCGAGGGAAAACAGCAGAACGTGCAGGAGGGACAGGAAGGGTGAGGGGTCCCAAAAGAGGCCGAACCCGGCTCTCTTCTCCTGGATTCGTGAGTCTTGAACCTGGGAATGTGCATCTCTCCTTCCGCAGCAATACGAGAACTGGAGGCCCAACCAGCCGGATAACTTCTTTGCCAAAGGGGAGGACTGTGTGGTCATGATCTGGCATGAGAAGGGAGAGTGGAATGACGTCCCCTGCAACTACCACCTTCCGTTCACCTGTAAAAAAGGAACAGGTGAGGCTTCCCTCTGTGTGCCAAGGGTTGGTGGGGGGGGGGCTGATGAGCTTAGACAGCAACCCTTCCCAAGCGGTGCCTGCCAGTGTGCTTAACAGGAAAAGAGACCTCAGGGTATGCAGAGGTCACACAAGAGTGTTCCTGGGGTATAGCATCCCCTCTTGAATTTGACCCACGCAGAGGAGAGTTTTCATGCCAGCTTGTCTGTTGGTTTTTCCAAAGAATTTCCCCCAGAATTCATGTCTTTCTTCATGTTGGGGATGAAAAGAATCCAAGAGCTGTTGTCGTTGTTAGGTCTATATGCTGAAGAAAGGGAAACGGGTAGATTTTTCCCAGTCCGAATCTGCCCTGTAGCTCCAGAATCACCATTCAGGTTTCAGCCTGCCGTTTGTTGTTGTTGTTGTTGTTGTTGTTGTTGTTGTTGTTGTTGTTGTTGTTGTTGTTGTTGTTGTTGTTGTTTTGGGGGGTTTTTTGCCCAGGGAGAGAGATGGGACATTAAACCAATACTCTGATACCTTTGCTTCGCGCAGGATCTGCTTACACAAGCCTACCTTATTATCAGTCTGCTTACAAAATCGGTGGGCATAATATCTGACTCCTTTTTAAAATATATATATATTTCCTGCGTGAAGCAAAGGTATCAAATTTGAAGGAGCAGGTCTTTTGTAAATTGAATGGCTCTCAATACCCTTTTGAGATCAAACTAACCTCAAATGGTATCACATAGCCTGTTGCTGAGAAAGTCAATTTCTCTCTGGACTGATGTGGACTGTGGTTAAGAGAAGAGAGGAGAAAGAAGCTCGGAGGAAACCAGGGTATCAGAAGATGTCATCACTCAGAAAGCCTTCAGGCTTCTAACTTGCAAATCCAGACGCCACTCTCCAGCTGCCCAAAACATTCCTGTCTCTGTAACTTTTTAGTGGTGCCCAAAACATATTTCCCCAGCCAGAACTTGGGGCCGTCATGCCTTAATCTCAAAGACAGCAGGGTGACAGATTTTCGCATCTCAAAATCAGGATTATTTACTGCGCTCATCCTGGCTGCCATGGTTAACAAAGGAAATGGCCCTCTGCAGCCACAGAGCTTGGCTGATGGGCCCGGCAGCAGAAGGCTCTTAGCAACATTGGCGTCAAGGTTCTTCCGAAGGAAAGGACAGACAAAAGCCATCGTGGTGGAATTCCCCCCTTCCTGTGTCAATCCAAGAATCAGGGTAAGAATAATATTGCCGAGCGCACACATACTCACAGACTTGGTGCATACATAGAACATCGCCAGCAGATTTTCAGCGTGAGAGCTTCATCTTCCGAAGTCTTTAGAACGTGTAACCCCGTTTACCAAAACGTTACTCTTTCACACACACACACACACGAAAAAAAAGGTAAAACAGAAATAAAATCTTCCTGATTCTTGAAGACAGGGGTCAGTCAGTTTTTCCGGTCTTTCTTCCTGAGCTCAAAGTGTTGGATTTGAGGTTTATGAAACACAGTGGCCTGGATGTAACCACTAGTTCCCATTGAACCAACAGGGTTTTCTTAATTATTCCTGATTTGATTCAACGGGGGTTGGCTCTCGTTTCTTCATATTCCGAATGGAAAAGAAGTTGAGCTTTTCATTCAATTGCATTGTAACATTTTAGTTGTCATTTGTTTTTATCTGAATCTTTTTTTAAAATTAGTCTTACCTTGAGACCAAAGTGGAGGTTAAAATAAATAGATAAGTAAACAACGGGGATCAAAATCCCACTCTTTTTTTTAGCTATGCATGTTGGATGTGATGTTTAATTGTAAGGAAATAAGAACAGGGCTTCCCTCTTTGTGTTTACTTCTGTTGGATCTCTGTAAAATCATGGAAGCTAAGGCCAACACTGGCTACTAGTTAGGAAAGCTAGATAGATTTATCTAGTATCCCTAGCATCTCTGATGTACTGTGGCTGAAATAAGCATTACCAACAACTCATCATTAAAAGAGGTGATCCCTTTACAGCAAAAAGGATCTGATTGTCACAGCAGGGGCATTCCCTACCTCCCATAGTTTGAAGGGTGTGAACCTGCCAGCCACAAGTGTTGGTACTATCTCTAACCACTCCTTTTGGGCAGATGGAAACATAGATAAGTCAGTGGCTTAAGCATTTGGCTCCAGATTCAAAAGTTGAGAGTTTGATTCCCCACTGTGTCTCCTTGACAGGGGTAGGATTTGATGATCCATAGGGTCCCTTCTGGCTTTGTAGTTCTAATATAACGATGACAGTGATTAAAAGAGGCTAGATCAGTGGAGAATCAACATGGTAATCTTGCTGGGCCTCTTGCATTCTACCGCATTAAACTATCTTCCCCTTCTAAAGAACAACCTCACTGACTTTAAGTTTAACCCAATGAAAGCCTGTAATCTTGCTGGGCCTCTTGCATTCTACCACATTAAACTATCTTCCCTTTCCAAAGACCAACCTCACTGACTTTAAGCTTAACCCACAAGGGAATGAAAGCCCGGGTGGAAAAATGGCTGGTTACGGCCGCTTAGAGCCACTCTGAGTGGGAAGGAAGTTGATCATTTTGTTTTTATCCTCCGCAGTGACCTGCCAAGACCCACCGGCGGTCGAGAACGCCAGGCATTTTGGTAAGAAGAAAGACCGCTACGAAATCAACTCCATGGTGCGGTACCAATGTGACCCGGGCTACATACAGCGTCACGTGCCCACCATTCGGTGTCAACCCAACGGGCACTGGGAAGAGCCACGGATAGCCTGCATAGATCGTACGTAATGCTCATAATCGTTATCCCCACCGCCTGGGGGCTGCAGGCCAGGGGTGGGTAGGGGAAATGGCAGGTGGCGTCAAAGCTTCAAAACATCATTTTATGGGTGGGGCCAGAGATTAGTATCATTATTTTAAAACCTGTATCGATTCCTCTTTTTTTAAAAAAGTAATCTTCCAGCTGTTGCTGGAAGCAATGCGTGGCTGAGAGCAATGTCTTCAAGCAATGTGTTCTGTTACTTTGTCAATAATGTGTACAGTAGGACCCCCACAACCACAAAAATCAGTATCCACGTTTTCACTTATCCGTGGACTGAAAAATATGAAAAATATTAAATGAGGAAAAAACAGAAATTCATATTCCAATGATGTAGTTACCGGAACTGACCACTAGAGGGATCCAAAGACCATATTATATAGAGAGTTTGGTGTTATCCATGGTTTTCAGCATCCGAGGGCAGGGGCTTCGAATTGATCACCCACAGATACCACCATCCTATTGTAATTCTTAATTTAAAAGAACAAAACTTTTTTAAAAAAAACACGTATTGGCCAACCGTATCCCACAATCCATCAGCACAACTTCCCTGCAATGAATGGCATTCAACACCTTTGATGTTGCTTTTTCGTGAGCACTAACATTTAGGACCTTCATGGCGCAAATTTTCGTGCACCACGTCCACGTTTACCCATGAATTCATGATGTTGTGTTGCCCTCGTTGAGCACTGTGGCTCAAAAGAAGCTGTGGGAGTTCCTTCGAAGCCCTGCTCTGCCTCTTTCCTCCTTCTGTTCTCACGGGGCCACCCGGAAAATAACATATTTGCCAGACATCGGAATCCATCTCTTGAGACACAATTTGATCTTAAGCCAAAGTTCTTCCTGAGAGCAACATGACTTAACCTTGAACGAAAGAAATGGCATTTTCCTTTGTCATCCGGGGTGGCTGCCGTTCTCCTGCTAGGCTTAATCCGCCTTCTGTAATAACAGTTCTTGATGTCTGGAGCTTTTTCTTCCTTCATTAAAAACGACCAGACAGCGGTGAGGGGCGCCAGGCCAGGTTAAGCCGCTCAGGTTGCGGAAAGACAGTTAAAATTTGAGGGCTGCAAGAACGATTGGTCTGAATCGCTCACACTCTCTCTCCCAGGTCAGACTGGACTGCAAGGGCCGGCTGGGAATTCAGCTTGGGGATTTATTTTTTTCTTCTCTTCAGTGCCGACGCCAAGAGTTGGCAACTTTCAGTTCTTGGCTGGCAGGTCGCACTCCACAAAGTCTGCCCTCTGCAAGCTTCTGTAAATCTGTGGTGCCTCTGGATGTTTTTGGAGACCAGAGGCTGGGGAGGTACCCGTGAGGTCTGTCCCCTCACTTTCCTCTCCACGGTTCTGAGTCAGAAATGCTTTGGTTCCTAGGCAAGGATGAGAGCCACCAGCTTTCGGCAACAGATGCTGGCAGCGGATTAGCCACCATCAACAGCCACTTCTCTTTTATATTTTTACCTCGGGGGAGGGGGGAGCCCTTGGAGCTTCATCTGCAGGCACAAGAAGGTCCCTACATCTTCACAAGTATAAAGGGTGTACAGTGGTGCCTCACAAGACAATTGCCTCGCGGGACGATTAATCCGCAAGACGATTAGCTTTTGCGATCGTTGTTGTGCTTCGCAAGATGATGGTTTCCTATGGACGATTTTCGCAAGACAACGATTTTTCCCCATCGGAACGCATTAAATAGATTTCAATGCATTCCAATGGGGAACCGCGTTCCGCAAGACAATGTTTCCTATGGATGATTTTCGCAAGACAGTGATTTTTCCATTGGAACACATTAGATACATTTCAATGCATTCCAGTGGGGAACCACGTTTCGCAAGACAATGTTTTCGCAAAACAGCGTTTTTCACGGAACGAATTAACATCGTCTTGCGAGGCACCACTGCAGCTTTAAAAAGGAGAATCCACATATTGAAAGGGTCCTCTTCTTGAAGGACTGTCTGGTCTGATTCTGATTGAAGGGCAGAGGAGAAAGGACCATAAGAATGGAGAGTGGGGCCCGCCAAGGGTGGTCCATTCTGGCACATGGCCCACCTGCCCCTAGCTTTCACCACCATGGAAAGACTATTGTATTTCTCAGAGAGGAAGCCTTGTTTGTTTCAGAAATGAATAGACTGGCCAGCCTTAAGGTTGCCACTGGACTTTTCTTTCTGTTTCTATCTAGTTTCAGGGAGTGGAGTGGTTGCATTTTAATTTAAATTAAAGTGACCTTTTGCGTCTTATCCACATAAATGAGTGTGTTTTCTGCAAATCTACATCCTAGCTTGTCTGTCCTTCCTCCATTTCTTCCTTCTTTCCTCCCTCCCTTCCTTCCATTCATTTCCTCTTTTGAGGAGATGCATCTAGACGCCAACATTTATTCGGCCATTTCTACCACTGGCCATGTTGGCCGGGGATTTTGGGAGCCGTAGTCCCTGCCCACCAAAAGGAGGAACTTTTATTGTGCCCAGAAAAGGGGCTCTCATCTCCTCTGATGAAGAGGAAATGACCCCCCCAGCTGCCAGGCTGTATCTGGGGTGACACCTTAGCTGGTCCGCTGGCACAGGATACGACCGGCCCTTCAAATGGGAGCACCCTCTACCTCGCCACCCTCAGTGTTTGCCAGTAGGGTAGGTCAAGGTGGAGAGGACAGAGCAAGGCCGTTTCCAAAAAGCAAGGCGCATGGCCAGCTTCAGCGCATGAGAGGGGAACAAAAAGCAAGGCGCATGGCCAGCTTCAGCACTGGGTCCCAGCGCATGAGAGGGGAGAGGAAGCCCAACTGCATCATGGCAAGCAGGCTGGCGCCTTGGCACACTCAATGTGGACAGCCGGAGAAACAACACGCTACATCTTCAGCAGTGTTTTTCCAGAGAGCAGGAAAGTGAGAGCGCCAGCTCAGTATAAGCAGCGCCTCTGTGCCCTTCATCCCGGGGTAATAACAAGGTGTCTTTTCTTCTCTCCCCCCCCCCTCCTACAGCCTCCACCTACAAACACAGGCTACACAAGAGGAGCCCACGTACTCGATCGAGGACCAACGGAGGCCTGGCACAGAAAACCACCCATTAAAGAGAGGACAGAGAACAAGAAGAGTTGAGAGAGAGAGAGAGAATGAAAGAGAGAAAGAGAGAGAGAGAGAGATTTTATGGAACAGTTCTATTAACAGAATCGATCCCCCCCCCCGTTGATTTTTGTTGTCGTATAAGGAAAATATATATATATATATAAAAGACAATCCCACCTTGTGTATATGTAAACAAAGCAGAACGAAGGAAAAACAGGGAAAGGAAGCTTTGCCGGAGAGCAAAGGAAAGAAATATACAATCTCAGCTTTTAATTTTATTTGTTACTAACCGCTTGAAGCCCTGCGTCTCGGTAGGGGCTCAGTCTGGGGGAGGCCCCGTGAAGTGAGGGTTAACTTAAATAATAAAGTTGCTAATTGTGTGCATGTGTGTGTGTGAGAGAGTGTGTGTGTGTGCATGCAGGCGCATGAAGGCGCATGCGACAGGCAATATAATTATTTAATCTGCAGGTTGGCCCAAAACTCTTTTTTTAAAAGTGTTTTATTTTCCCACGTTTCTTTCCATTGTTACAGCCTGTATGGTAGGGTCTGGGGGGGCATTTGGGGGACACTGGAACATAGCTTGGTGGCTTCGGTCCCCAGCTGTGGAGCCCGAGGTTGGGAGTTCAATTCCCCCACGGTGCCTCCTTGGCAGGGGCTGGACTGGATGACCCCATGGGGTCCCTTCCAGCTCTGCAGGTCTAAAATCATTATGGGCTAGGTAAAACTGTGTAACAAAGGTGGAGGAAGGAACCCAAGACTTCTTAGTGGGAAGGGGGAATGGATGAGATGATTTCCCTCTCTCCTGGAGATGTGGGGGGGGTAATGGTCCTTGCTCATTCGAATGCCTGCCTTCCTTGAAATAAATGTGCCTTGTTCAATCCTATGTGGAGGCTGGAGTGGAAAATGTCGCAAAGCCAAACTGGTGACCGTTGAAGGATGGGCAAGCGGGGAGGACAACCCAGGTTCTGTGTTTCCCTTCGCTCTGCCGTTTTCCTCCTCAATTTCCAACCATCCACCGCCAGACCCAACATCGCTTCCCTCTCCGCTACCTCCACCACCCCTTTCCTCCTGTCTTTTCAGATGCGGGCAGAAAAGGGAGAGAAAGAGGCAGGGGGGTGGGTGGGCGGTCCACCATCATTGATGGGGGAACAGACCCAACCCTTTTGAACCCAACGCAGAGGAGCCCCATGAGAGTAGATCCATCGAATCAAGGGGATTTTCCCCCAGTGTCGATTTACCAAACTCTCATCTTTGAACCCAACGCAGAGGAGCCCCATGAATCAAGGGGATTTTCCTCCAGTGTCGATTTACCAAACTTTCACTGATTCTGTGAACCTGTTCCGGCTGGGCCTTTACAATGGGGGTGTCTTCTTGGGCGGACCCAACATGGTTTCCACTGAAGGCTGGCCAGAATCCTCTTTAGTTACAGCGGCTTGCATTGTGAGACACGAGCTCCCCACGAGGCTGGCAGGGAATCCTTAACTGCTGAATTCCAGGGAATTCCTTAGCTGCTGAAAGTAGCCAAGTGAAAAGCATCGGCTTTTCCCACCTTACGCAATTGACAGATTAGGTTGCTTTGTTCTGTGATGGGTCTTCAGGATTTAAGCAACGGAGGTCTTTGAAATCTGACTTCCAGACCTGAATCACGTCTCTCCAACACTAATATGCTTCCAGATATACTCATATATCTGTAAATGCCTGTTTTTCTGCTTTCTGTCTGTGGCCACGTTTGCTGGTCAGTTTCACAGATGAGAAGTATTCTTCACACAAGGCCTGACCAGCGTGTGTCCCATCTTGTCTCCAGGGGGCCCCAGGGCTAAACTCCACAACAACTCTGTGAGGTAGACTAGGATCAAAGCTGTTTGTTGTTTCGAACCTGGTGCCAAAAAAATGTCAATGGGGCCCACAAACTCCATAATTGACTCCCCCACCCACAATTTTAGCCTAATCATACCCTTTTCCCCCATAAGCTTTTAAAACAATAGCTCGCATTGCCAATCGATAGATATTTTCCTAGGGCTAAGTCCCATCAAATTCAATGGGGCTTGCTTCTACACAGACATGGCTATAAGATCTTGCGTAAAATGGTAAGGGGGCAGTGCCCCTTCCTGACTACCACGCGACTCAAGCACTGGGTCCAAATATCTTCGAAGCGAAACCCCAGGGAGAGGCTTGTCTCGTCAGCCTTTTTCTCTTCCCAAGAGGCTTGTGTCTTCCGCCATTTTCTCCCTGCTTCCCTCCATGCTCCTGAGAGAGGCAAGTCAGAGCTATACGTAATGCAACCTTGTACGCTTTGCTTCCCATTTCCCCAGACACACAAGGAAGCAGCTCCCATCCTCAGAGCGTTTTCTCTCTCTCTCTCTCAGTCTCTCTCTTCCCACAGGGACCGTGCAGGACACCTGGGTTCCCTGCACTTATTTATATATATATATATTAAATATAAG